CAATACCAAATCAAAACAATGCAATATAAAATACAATATACAATACAGTACAATACAATACAAAATACAAAACAATACAAAACGCAGAACAATACAATATAAAATAAATACAATACAATGTAAAATACAATCCAAAATATATTGTTTTGTATTATAATTTATTATTGTATTGTTTTGTATTTTGTATTGTATTGTGTTGCACTGTACTGTATTACAATACTCTATTGTATTTTGTATTTTTTTATTTTGTGTTGTATTTTGTGTTGTACTTTATATTGTACTGTGTTGTATATTGTATTGCATTGTATTGTATTTAATACAAAATACAATTTAAAATACAATACAAAGTACAATACAAAATACCAAACAATAGAAAATACAAAACATAATACAGTACAGTACAAGACAAAACACAATACATTGCAAAACACAATATAGTACATTACACTACACTACAAAATACAAAACAATACAATACAAAATATACAGTACAATATAATAGAAAATACAATAGAAAATACAAAACAATGCAATACAAAATATACAATACAATATAAAATACAATACAAAATACAAAACAATATAGAATATAATACAGTACCATGCAGTTCAATATAATAGAAAATAATATAAAATACAATACAGTACAGTACAATACAAAATACAAAACATTACAATACAGAATACAACACAGTCTCTCCTTAATCTTCCCTGCTCTTCTTTCCATCCTCGCAGAGATATCTTGAGAGTCGGAGTGACGCTGGCCGGACACCAGAAGAAGATCCTGAACAGTGTCCAGGTGATGCGGACGCAGATGAGCCAGATCCAGTCTGTGGAAGTTTGAGACGTGCTTCTCACACACACACGTCGGGTTACGGGTTTGGAGGTCCCGCTCCCCCGTTGTCCTGGAGCACGTCCAGGTTTCCTACGGGCCTCGGGGCTCCTCGAACCAAGACGGACACGGGAGCGCTGAGCAGCCACGGACTCTCAGCACACCAGAGCCCCCCTCCCCTGGATTTCTTATTTAGGAGGACACTTCCGAACTCCACGTCGGCGGCGTGGACCTTCTCCTCAAAGGGCTAAAGTCGGGGAAGGGACGGCAAGCAGCCCTTCTCGGCCCTCCCTTTCCGCCCTGTCTGTCCTTTGAATGAGCCGTACCAGCGTCGCCGTCTACACAGGAGGTCCCTGGACGTCCGTAACGGAGCTGTGGAGGCTTCGTCTCATCCGGGGTTCGGTAGACACGGTCACTGGGCTGGACTGAAGAAGGGCCCGGAGACAGGAGGTTTTACCTACAGATGGGTCTTTTGAAAACCCGCTTTCCTTTGAAGGACAGAAGCATTTTTGGGGATTATTATTATTATTATTTTTACAAATTTTGATGTCCTCTTCAACCTTGTCTCCCGGAGCTTCCCGAGGGTCAGATCGGTCCTTGATCGAGTTGGGATTGGGTGGAATCTTGGCGCTTCCTGGAACCCCGTTCCTCTTTTTCCACCCCGAATGGCATTGCTCCGACACACACTTGCCGTTGTTCACCAGGCGTTCCTCCCTTGTAAGCGTGTTGTAGACTTGTTGTGCTTTTTTTTTGTTGTTGTGGTGGTTGTCCATGACTTCTCCTTCGTTTGCAGTGGGGGTCCCGAGGTGGTGATGGGGGGGGGGGGGGCTGTGTTGTTTTCGCCCTCCTCCGAATGCAAAAAAAAAAAAATATTGTGTTTCTCCTCCCAAGGAGCCAGGCATTGACACCGAGTTGCTCCCAAGTGCCAAATTATGGGTTTGCTCAAATTGTGGCTATCCTACCGTCCCACTCACTCACCTTTTCATTCTAATTGAGATGTGGTTCCTCCCACATCAGCCAGCTGGCTTATGAAGAGTCTTTTATCCAGGGTCTTTTATCTTTAGTCGAGCAGTTTGAAAATAGGTGGACTTCCAACTCCCAGAATTCCCCACGCAGCAAAATGGGCACTTCAACGCCCAGAATTCTCCACGTTGCCAAATTAGAGAAATGCTCTTGTGTTCTCGATTCTGCAGCCGGCATCCGTGGACTTCCAACGCCCAGAATTCTCCGCGCTCGCTGGGGAATTCTGGGCACCCAAGTTCACACGGCCCGTTGGCTTTGGTAGCTGGGCTCTGCTCAGTGGTGGGTTTCAAATTTTATTTTATTTTTTTTACCAATGGGGCGTCTGGGGGTGCGGCTTGGTGGGGCGTGCCAAATGCCCACTTTTGCAGGAGCGCAGAGGGTTTGCTACTGACCGTCTCCTGAAATCCTGCACTCTCCCGGTGTCTTCAACAGGGCAGTCCAAAAGCAGCGGAGGCTGAAAAGCAGGAGTTAAAGGTCAGCATAGAGTCATTGACAGGTGGGGCGGGGGGTCCAGCAGCCGATCGTTGTCAGAGCGAACAGGTTTGCTCACAGACAATCGTCGGAGCTACCAGATCAGTCGAACCGGGCCAAATCGGTAGAATACCATCACTGGCTCTGTTCTGTGAGTGCAAAATTCTCATTTTGCCCCCGTCTTTCACCTGTTTTACCAAACTCACGTCCACCTGTCCCGAGGCTACCCCATTCCACCGGACCAAGCAATCATCAAGAACCTTTCATCTAGAAGGCAACATTTGGATCAATAGGTTACCACCTTCAAGCCAGCTTTTGGACGTCTGGATGTGGATCTGGTACGAAACGATGGAGTATGGAGAAGTGGCTGCAAAACAGGAGCGAGTATTTATTTAAAAAAAACGGAGAAAATTTGAGGTTTTTCTTCTCTTGTCTGTAATTTCTTTTTGGGAGGGGTGTTTGGAATTGGAGGGTCTTAAACTTTGGACATTCACGGCCCGTCGGACTTGAAGCTTCACGAAGGTGCATCTCAACTCATCCCCAGGTCTCTTGCAACCTTTGTTCTTTACCCTGGACAGTATTTGTATTTTTTACAAAAGAATGACAAAAAAAAAAAAAAATGTGAATAACAGGTGGTTTTTTTTTCCAGCCCTTGTTCCCCCGCAAGGGTGTGTCTTCCATTCCAACCAGGCCTTCTCCGTAACTCCATCGGACTTCTTTGGAGAAAGGGGAGAAGGAAGAGAGAAAGAAAAAAATGAAACTCAATGTATTTATAAAGACAACCGCAGAACCCCTTGACTCCGCGATCTTTGCAGGAGTATTTTTAAACAAGACTCTTTTTTTCCAAAATAAATGTGAAGTGTGAACGTTTGGACCCGTTCTTTCTTTCCTTGAGTCTTCGCACCTTTACGTTTCCACCTCGAGGTGCTGTAAACCGGGGCAGAGAATGAAAATCACAGGAAAGGGTTAGGACCGCTTTGGTAAAGCCTTAGTAATAATGCCACGCCCGGAATAATTTGCCCCGTTTCAAACCCCCCCTGCCCGTGTCTTTTCTTTCTTTTCATTTCCTTTCCGTTTCTTTTCGGAAGAACGGAGTTCACCCGTCTTTAGCGTGACGGTAGCCCTCCCCGTTTCGAATCCAGGATTCCCAACCGAAGGGCCTCCGTGATGGCGGTCGCGGAACCCGTCTTCCATCCGTTTCCAAAGCTTCCCGTGAACATCAGGAAAAGGCACTGAGGCTGTCTTTCCTCCCTCCTCGACCCCCTTTTCGCTGTCTCCTTGGAGAGAAGAAGAAGCCATCCATGCGTGATGCTTTGATCTTCTCCAATTAACTTTCCCCGTCTCCAAGAAGGATTTTTCACACCCCTGGACCGCTCAGCCCAACAGACCTTTGGAGGGTGATGCAACCTGGCAGGGGAGGAGGGGGGGGAAGACAGGGCAGCCCCCCCCCGAGGGGGTGGGTGGGGCAGGGGGACCCCAAGGCAACGCAGGTGTCCTGGCTCGATTCATCCCAAGCTCGGCCTCCTAATTGTCTCAGAGGCACAAAAAAGGACATTGTTTGGGTCTTCTGCGATGGGCTGTGGGTTTGCATGTTGACAGAGGGACGGAGGGACTTCACACACACACACAACACACACACACCCGTTGATGGATATTGCTCCTGATGGCCTCTTTCACGGTGTCGACGCGTGAAAGGGCGCTGAACTCTTGATGACTCCATCCCCTGTCTGAAGGACAACTTTCCACGGGTTCAAAAGTTCGTGGCTCATCAAGACGGATCATCCTCCATGTCCGGGAAGGGTGGCAGGGAGAGACGAGTGGGTTGGCCTTCAGCCCAACTCACTGGGCCTTCAACGTTGACCTCAGGGGGGTTGGTGGGACCCGCTTGTCCGGGGAAGATGACAAACTAAGATTGACACCTCCAAAGGAGATGCCCCGAGCCTGCTCATCGGCGGAGGGCGGTGGGCTCTCCAAGCCACTGATTTGGAGATGGATAGGGAGGGAGGATCAAGCTGGGAGGAGCTACCCGCGAGAACGGCAACCCTCCCCTCCTCCAACACGTGAAAAAATTTAGGGCAGGGACGCCGTCGGTAATCTACGCCCATCGCTGTAGGCGTCAGTTAACAAACCAGGAGGTCTGTGGACCAACAAGAGAAGAAAAGAAAACCCGGGGTTTTCTCATGCATGGAAGGACATCTGTTGTCAACCCATGACAGCTTGGCCTCTGGCCATCCGTGGCTACATCCAAACGCGTTTGCAATTGGGTGAAAGGAAGCCAACTTCCCAGGCCAAGATGTTGAGTTGATGGACCAGACAAGGCAGCTGCCAAAAAAACCAGAACCAACCCTGCGTTGGTTGCGTTAACAGAATTTATTTTATTTTATTTGTCAGTCACTGACAAGGTAATATGTATAAGCATAAACATGAGTAAGAATACAGGAAATGGGTACGAATAAATGGGGACAATAGGACAGGGATGGCAGGCACGATGGTGCACTTATGCACGTCTTAGAAATGGGTATTCTCTCCCTTTCTCTCCTCCCTCCATTTCTTTCTCTCCTTCCTTCCTTCCTTCCTTCCTTCCTTCCTTCCTTCCTTCCTTCCTTCTTTCCTTCCTTCCTTCCCATCTATCATATTTTCCTTCCTTCCCATCTATCACATCTTTCCTTCCTTCCTTCCTTCCTTCCTTCCCATCTATCACATTTTCCTTCCTTCCCATCTATCACATCCTTCCTTCCTTCCTTCCTTCCTTCCTTCCTTCCTTCCTTCCTTCCTTCCTTCCTTCCTTCCTTCCTTCCTT